TTTCCTTGGTCTTTTCTTGGTCCTTTGATGCTATTCAAACTATAGCTTACTCTCTTAGTACAGGGCCAACAAACTTTTTTGGTAAAGGCCAGGTAAATTATTTTAGGCTTGTGGAACATACGGTCTCTATTGCAACCACTGAACACTGCTGTTGTAGCACAAAATCAGTTACAGATAATACATTAACAAATGAGCATGGCTGTGTTCCAATAAAACTTTACTTGTAAAAACAGGCAGCGGCCAGGATTTGGCCCATAGCCTGTAGGTTGCTGACCCACCTTAGTGCATTTCATAACATGGAATGAGTTTTGGATACTCAGTACTATGACTGAGAGTAGAGGATGTATCCTTAAGTTTACTTGCACTGATTCCTTATATTATTTTAAAAAAAAATATTCCATGGAACAATGTGGACAATAGTCCTGGCCTCAGAAAATTATTCTTAGGATTGAAAAGCAGGTTGTATAGTAGAATCAGTGTGGACAAAACACACAAAAATAATTGGCAAAAATCCCAAAGCTTTGGGGAGTGCAAAACAATACTATCCTTATGGAAGGAAATTTAACAACATCCATCAAAATTTAAATACATTTACTCTTTGACCCAGAAATCCAAAGTCTAAAAGTTTATCCTATACCTGTACCTATGTGAATTGAAGTATATCAAGCTTATTCATTATAGCATTGTTTGTAATGAACAAGATCAGAAACAAGCCAAATGTCCATATACAGAAACATCGTGTAGCTGTAGGAATAAAAACAAAAACAAAAAACTACATACATTAATATGGAAAAATCTCCAGGAAATGTTTTAAGTATTAAAAAAGCAAGAACATAAGTAGTATGATACCTTCTATAAGAAAGAGAAAATAAGAATATATAATTGGGACTTCCCTGGTGGCGCAGTGGTTAAGAATCCGCCTGCCAATGCAGGGGACACGGGTTCGAGCCCTGGTCTGGGAAGATCCCACATGTTGTGGAGCAACTAAGCCCATGCGCCACAACTACAGAGCCTGCACTCCGGAGCCCATGAGCCACAACTACTGAGCCCACGCTCCTAGGGCCTGTGCTCTGCAACAAGAGAAGCCCATGCACAACGAAGAGTAGCCCCTGCTTGCTGCAACTGGAGAATGTCCGCGCACAGCAATGAAGACCCAACACAGCCATAAATAAATAAATATTTTTTAAAAAACACAATATAGGACTTCCCTGGTGGTCCAGTGGTTAAGAATCCACCTTCCAATGCAGGGCACCCGGGTTTGATCCCTGGTTGGGGACCTAAGATCCCACATGCCATGGGGCAACTAAGCCTGCGTGCCACAACTGCTGAGCCCGCATGCTCTGGAGCCCACACGCCACAACTAGAGAGAAGCCCACACGCCACAACTAAGACCCAACACAGCCGAAGAAAAGAAGGAAAGAAGGGAGGGAGGGAGGGAGGGAGGAAGGAAGGAAGGGAGGAAGGGAGAAGGGAGGAAGGGAGGAAGGGAGGAAGGGAGGAAGGAAGGAAGGAAGGAAGGAAGGAAAATATAATTGCTTTTGCTGATATCTGAATAAAGAAACCTTGAAAGATATTCAAGTAATCTAAACGGTTACCTATAGAAGTGGATAGGAATTGAGAGAAAACATCTCCATGTATGTACGTGTGTATATGTGTGTGTGTAGTTTTGTTTTTTGAACCATGTAAATGTATTAGCTATTCAAATAATAAATTTTAAAGAATAATATTACTTTAGAATCATTGTAAGGATTAAAGAGTTTGTAAATGTAACCAATATAAAATCTCTAACACAGTGTTTTACACACAGTGGGTGCTGCTATGTCCTGTTGCTGGTCTTTTTAAATGTCATCCAAATGGTGTGATAACATAAACAAATAAAAGAATAAATACCAAACACTTAGACTCAATATTTTCATCTCTAGGAATCTACCTTAATAAAAATCTAAAAATTGGACAAAGATTTAAATATAAATAATGAACTGCTGAAACAACCCAAAAACTCAAAAATAGAGAAATATTCAATTAACTATAGTACACCTATACTTATAAAGCATTTTTAATGACAGAGAAAATGCTCAAAATATACAACTTTATAATCTCAAATGAGGGGGACAGAGTGGTGGGGTGGGGAGTGAGGGATTGGGAAGCAGAGAGATACATGCAGAAATAAAAGACCTAAGTAAAGTACAGCCAATAAACTTTTATAGAGGGGTTGTTGGCAATTTTTATTTTCTCTTTAATTCTTTTCTGTATTTTTCAAATTTTCTTTTAATCATGTAATCCTAAAAAGGAAAAGAAAGAAAGAGAGAGAAAATGGATTTCGGGATCAAAGAAATGCAAGTTCAAATCCCATATCATATATGCAATTTTAGACAAGTTAATTAAGCTGTTAAAAAGCTGCCAGATTTGTAAAATGGAGATGATACAGAAATTCCAGGGTTATTTTAAGGATTAGAGACATCATATGTAAAAATGACCTAACTAATGTCTTAAACATAGTGAATACTAACTAGTATTATTCTCATACATCTTATCTGTGTAACATCCTCGCCTATATAAAATTATACTAGGGGACTTCCCCAGCAGTCCAGTGGTTAAGACTCCACACTTCCACAGAACGGGGCGTGGATCCAATCCGCAGGGATCTAAGATGGGGGAACTAAGGTAGGGGAAGTGGTTGGGAAACTAAGATCCCACATGCTGTGTGGCATGGTGAAAAAAAGAAAAAGAGAGAAATATAAAATAAAATTATACTATATTTTAATAATCTAAGGTACTATTCCTTTTAAGATGCAAGGAAGTTTTAGAAATGTTGAAATGTGAAAAATGATCATCTTAGATTTGATGAAATTCAGTGTTTAAGTTTAGTGAAATAAATGCTACTTTCCATACGTATCTTTTTATTTACTACAATGGAGTGTAAACTGCATTAGAAGCATATATTAAAAATAACAGGAGGGACTTCCCTGGTGGCACAGTGGTTAAGAATCCACCTACCAATGCAGGGGACACGAGTTCGAGCCCTGATCCGGGAAGATCCCACATGCCACGGAGCAACTAAGCCCATGTGCCACAACTACTGAGCCTGCACTCCGGAGCCTGTGAGCCACAACTACTAAATCCCGTGCACCTAGAGCCCGTGCTCCGCAACAAGAGAAGCCACTGCAATGAGAAGCCCACGCACCACAACAAAGAGTAGACCCTGCTCGCAGCAACCAGAGAAAGCCTGTGTGCAGCAACAAAGACCCAATGCAGCCAAAAAATAAATAAATAAATTTTATTTTAAAAAAATATTAAAAAATGGGCTTCCTGCGTGGCGCAGTGGTTGAGAGTCTGCCTGCCGATGCAGGGGACACGGGTTCGTGCCCCGGTCCGGGAAGATCCCACATGCCGCGGAGCAGCTGGGCCCGTGAGCCATGGCCGCTGAGCCTGCGCATCTGGAGCCTGTGCTCCACAGCGGGAGAGGCCACAGTAGTGAGAGGCCCACGTACGGCAATAAAAAAAAAAAATACACACACATATATATATAAGGATTGGGAATTCCCTGGCAGTCCAGTGCTTAGGACTCAGTGCTTTCACTGCTGGGGCCTGAGTTCAATCCCTGGTCAGGGAACTAGGATCCTGCAGGCCGTGCAGCTTCTATGTTTCTATATAAGATACACGAATGGATAGTAAGCACGTGAAAAGATGCTCAACATGACTAATTAGGGAAATGCAAATCAAAACCACGATGAGATACCAACTCACTACCATGAGTGGCTACTATTAAAAAAACAGAAAACAAGTGTTGGCAAGGATGTAAAGAAATTGGAACCCTTGTGCAGTGCTGGTAGAAATAAAAAATGGTGCAACCACTATTATAAACAGTATGGCAATTCCTCAAAAAATTAAAAATAGAATTACCATATGATGCAGAAATTTCACTTCTGGGTATATACCCAAAATAACTGAAAGCAGGAATCTGAATAGATACTTGTACAGTCATGTTCACAGCAGCATTATTCACAAAAGCCAAAAGGTAGAAGCAACCCAAGTTCCAGCAATGAATGAATGAATAAACAAAATGTGGTATATTCATAAAATCAAATGTTATCCAACTTGGGGAAAAAGAGGGAATTCTGACACATGCTACAACATGGATGAACCTTGAAAACATTTTGCTAAGTGAAGTAAGCCAGTCACAAAAAGGCAAATACTATGTAACTCCACTTATGAGGTACCTAGAGTAGTCAAATCAAATCCATAGAGACAGAATAGAGGATGGTGGTTGCCAGTAGCAGGTGGGAGCAGGAATAAAGAATTGCTGTTTAGTGGCTCTAGAGTTCCAGTTTTGCAAGATGAAAAGAGTTCTCAAGATTGGTTGCACAATAGTGTCAATGTACCTAATGCTACTGAACTGCACATTTAAAAATGGTTAAAATGGTAAATTTTTTTTTTTTTTTGCGGTACGCGGGCCTCTCACTGTTGTGGCCTCTCCCGTTGCGGAGCACAGGCTCTGGACGCGCAGGCTCAGCAGCCATGGCTCATGGGCCCAGCCGCTCCGCGGCACGTGGGATCTTCCCGGACCGGGGCACAAACCCGTGTCCCCTGCATCGGCAGGCGGACTCTCAAAACACTGCGCCACCAGGGAAGCCCTAAAATGGTAAATTTTATGTTACATATATTTCACCACAATAAAATAAAGTTAAAATTAAAGGACTGTAATAGTGAGAACAAGCCTATCTGAATAACATAATTCTCTGAAAATAACTGTAATAGACTGTAAATTCACTTAAGGTAGGAAGATTTTTTTAAAGTAATACAATCTCCTTTTAAGAGTTATGAATATGATAACAAAAAAAGTGAAATAAATAAAAACCAAGTAAGTTTTAAACTTCTTTAATAAACACTTTGAAGCATTTAAAACCCCAAATGAAATGTAAATATTGTAAACACAATACGCTCTGAGTAACAGACTTATTATTCAACTTCGTATTTCTTTTTTTTTTTTTTTTTTTTACCTGGCAGAGAGAATAGTACCAAGACAGAGGAAGATCAAACACTCTTAGTGCTGCGGTCCTCAGGGAAAACTGTGATTCACTTACTGTTTCTTCTGACATGACTCCTCTTCTAATCTTCAATAAATGAAACAAAAAATATATTAGCCACAAAGATTTCTGGTTATTTTACAAATGAAAGATACAAATTGAAATTTTAACTCTTTTTAAACAGCTTTCCTTTTTTGCACTTAATTAAACAGCTGTCTTTTTTGCACACTAACCTGAAGAAAATAACATTCTGAGCCAAATTTACTTGAGGTAAAAGTTTATTAATCACCAAAGTAACCAAAAAGAAAATGAGTTAGATTTCAATTTTGAGTTCAAGTAGTAAATTTTCCTTAGAAAACTGCAGGTTCTAGATTCTCTCTTTTCTGGTTAAATAAATGTTTCAGCTGTTAAATAGTAATTTAAAATATTTTTCTTCCCACTTATTTCCTTCCAATAACAGCATTGGGTGGGGGCAGGTACTGAAAGAAATCTGATTGGAATCTTGACTCTAGGGGCTAAAAATGAACCTCAGGGCTCACTGAACTTCAGAACTCATGCATTTATTCTCCTACTGTCCTGTTTTAGAAAAATTTTTATTTTACATTGGAAGATAGTTGATCCTACTATCCCATTTTAAAGCTCTTGAAAGAAATGACATACATGCTATGAAATTTTAATATTGTTTGAATGCCTATTTCTACTGAAACCAAAGAAAGAAACATCAGTTGTCCACAGAGAAGGCAGTCATCACTGAGAGAGGCCCTTAAAGGTAGCACAACGCTGACAGAAACATGATGGTTCAGGGTCTGGGTCTATGCTTTGTAGAGCCAGAAACTCAATTTTATCAGTGTACCCAGCTGGATACACACTAAACAAATTCACAGAGTATTAATATAAATTAGTTTACAAATTTGCTCATTTATAATAAGGAAATACACTATCTAGTGAAAGAATACCTTTATATGCTATCGAAACATACCCTTTCTGAAATAAGACATTGCAGGGAGTTGAATTAAGTATAAAAGGCTGTGTGGTGAGCACAAAATTAATGGACCCTAAGGAATATTTCATACAAGCTGGGAAAGAGCCTGAGAACTGTTTCTGGTGTACAAGAGTAGGCTTCCCCACTAGCCAGAATGTTTAGGCCTACCGAATTCAATACTTCTTTAGCTTGCAGAGTGCTGTACAAACTACCAAAGAGAAAACAGAAACTACCAACAATCCCTCTGTAAAAACTTATTTGCTATACTTTAAGTCCTTTATTTCTGCATATATCTCTGCTCTCTTTTTCTAAACTCTAGTAGACTAATCCCTTCCGTTAATAAGCCCCGTTTCTTTTTGTTTTTTTTTTTCGGACAACTATCAAAACTACTGATTAAGAGCTTCCCTGGTGGCGCAGTGGTTGAGAGTTCGCCTGCCGATGCAGGGGACGCAAGTTCGTGCCCCGCTCCGGGAAGATCCCATGTGCCGCGGAGCGGCTGGGCCCGTGAGCCATGGCCGCTGGGCCTGCGCGTCCGGAGCCTGTGCTCCGCAACGGGAGAGGCCACCGCAGTGAGAGGCCCGCGTACCGAAAAAAAAAAAAAAACAACAAAAACAAAAAACTACAGATTAAGTAGTACTTTCCTTTCACATCAAGCACAGTAATACTTCTTAAGGTGGGTTACTGCTACTGACCGTTTACCTTTTCCCTATTAGGGACACTCAAGGAGTATAAACTTAATTCCCCCTCACTCATATTCTAATTAGAATATTTCAGCTCAGTGTAATTAGTTCTAATTGAAGTACATTTATTCTAACCAACAAACTGTGATAGAGACATATTATTCAGAAATACAAAGGAAATCATGAAGAAACAGTTAAACAAGTGAAAAATAGACTTCTGAGGAATGAGACTAGGGATGTTGGGAGGCTGGGCAGGGAACCACTGTTTTTCATTATAAGTGCTTCTGTAATATTTGATTGTTTAAGTGCCTACATGTACTTCTTTTTTGAAATGTTACACAAAAAAAAGGAGGGGAAGCACATTTATCCCCCCCTCAAAAAAAAAAACCCCAAAAAACCTGACAATTTCTTTTAGAGAAACATTTTTGGTAACGAAATAGATTCTGGATCATTAAAGCTATCTGTGCTATTGAATTAAAAATTAAAAAAAAAAAAAAAGATACTGAGAGTAATTCACCCAAAGTGATTTTCTCCATAACAGAGTTCCAGATTTTTAAGCAGAGGAGAAAGAAAATAAAGCAATCACTTCAATTTGCTGCAGGGATTTTCTTAAAAGAATTCTGACAAATTTCTATTTTTGCATTCTAACCACCTCATTCCCTTTCACTTAAAATCACTGAGGAAGTGATTCCAAACTTAATCATTAATAACTGAATAGCTTTTAAAAACTGGTCATTTCAGTTGCTTTCATAAATATTAATTTTAAAAAACATGAAGGCAGTTTCATGATTATTCAAATTTCGAGGGGGGGTCTAAAACATCACTAAAAATATTATACTCTGTAATATTACTCGCTTCCCTCCATTCTAACCACGAGAGAGTTAAAAATAAGTGTCATAAATAGCATTTGTTTCTTAAACACCCTAAAATTGGACTTTATCATCCAAGCAAGAATGAAACTCAGAAATATCCACAAAATTTTGATAATCTATACAACCGAAATCTGAGAAGATCCTTGAAATACAGCAAAAAATGCTTACTTGCAATAATGATAAAAAATAAAGGTCTGTGCACGAGCAAGACCTTTTGGAGTCCTCCCTCCAGAAAATAAAAGTTGAACAACTTTATTTACAGAAGGCCTCTAACGCCACAAACCTCCCGATGCTAAATTATTCTCGGAAAGCATCTTCAAGGAAAGCGTAATCTTCCACATCCAAAAACCACTCCCTGCTCAAACCACTGACATTCTTGCAGGAACTTGTACCACACTAGCTGCCCCTCCCTCAGGCCTCCCTCACCCCCACCGCGCTCTCCTCTGAGGGCTTCCTTTTTCTTTACCAAGATGACCAGGAAAGGGGCTCCCTCTCGGTTCAGCCGCCCCGACCGACCCTCGCTCCGGCTCCAAGCGGTCGCCAGCCCACCCTGATTCAGCGGTCCCGGGCGGGCCTCCCTCCGGCTTTCTGTTCTTCCACCCGCACTCGGAGTCCAGAGGTCGCAGGCTGGCGCTCTTGCTCGCCCAGCAGCCTCTACCCCGTGTCCGCTGCGACCCCACCCGACCCTCCGCCCGCCTGCTCCATCCCCGTACCTGGCGCTCCAGGATAAGTGTAGCCTGCCCACGCCTACTTCCCCGCCGCAGCGAGCCGCAGGCCGACCCCAGGGGCGGAGTCCTTCCGGGGTCAGGAGTGGGAAGGTGGAGAGAAAGTCGCGGGGGCCTCCTAGCCTTTCTGCGTGAGGGGCTACGTGTGAAGCAGCTCCCGCCATTTTTGTTTAGGGTAGAGGCTCTCGCCCTGCCAGATACATGTAAAATATAGAATGGAAGAATTGCATCCTCTTACAGTGCTGTCAAGAGCTAGCCTCCTAGTTCGTAACCATTTGAGGGCTCTAGGACCATACTATGAATCTGGTGAAAACTATGGGGCCTTTTCCCCATATGTCATTTAAATACAGTGTTAAAAAAATACACTCACATACTATTAAAAGAAAAAATAGTGTGTGTGTGTGTGTGTGTGTATATATATATATATATATATATATATATATATATATATGAGGTTAGATGCCCAAAACCAATCCACAGGTCCCAGATTAAGAACTACTATAGATGCTCAGCCCCCAAACAAATTAATGTTGAGGTATTCCAATCCTGTAGTAATGATGAAGTTATTATTGATTTCAATTCCTCTTTAGCTTTTCTCCACATTTCCTACTGAATTAGGCTACCAAATAATATGTGAATATGGTCAGCTCTGAGGGGTTAGGCAATGTATTCACAGCTCCGAGGTTCTGTCTAATACACAGTAAACTAATAGGGTGGGAGGGAGAACAACAGAAAACAACATGCTGTTTCTATGTGCAGTCCTGAGCCAAAACATTCCATCAGAACTGCAGATTTAAAAATTCCAATTTCTGAGCATATTTGTGGTGAAAAGCCAAAATAATTTTGTAAGGATTGCTAAAACATGAGAGCACATGCTACTATTCCTGTCTAAGAATCAAGAATGAACAGTCTTTTCTGGTAGTGTTCGAAATTCCCATTTAGTGAAATGGAAAATAGGGAGAATGATAATGCCAGTGTCTGACGTTACTGGATGAACAATAGCTAAAAATACACAGACTGAGTTGTGTGTGAAAGTATTGTGCACTTGTGAACAGTGCTCTTGACACTTGAAGAACCTGGAATTTGTAAGGCTATGTTTGTTTATTCCTCCATCTCCTGTCTGTGCCTCCTCCCAATTTCCCACAACTTCCAAACGTTCAGCCTAATGGGAAGAACAGGAATAATGATGACTCCCACTTAAAGCAACTTTCCTATGAACACTCTCTCCTTTAATTCCACAATAACCATTATGAGAAAGATATTATTACACACTGGGTATGGATTTTACTCTTTAACAGGAGAATAAGAACTATCAGATTTTATTTATTTTGCTAAATCAGTGTAATTTGCTCCAAGCCTCCCTTCTCCTGGGTTACCAGAATATTCAATCTTAGTCATTATTGAATATATCAGGTAGGATGCTGTTAGCTAGAAGCAAAAGAAAACTGAACAAATAGTAGCTTAAACCATAGGACAGGGTGGTCCATGTGGATGTTAGCAACAGATGGACACAATCTTATATTTGAACATTGATATCTTTGATATCTTCTGCTATCCTGGCCCAGGAAAAAAAATGGCACTTGGATTAATTCTAAAGGTCTGATCCTCCCCCAGATAACCAAAATCATCATGTAGTGCTCACCAAACCAGGAAGTGGAGTTCATGAAATAATATTAGTTGTTGCTATTGTTCAAATACTGAGGTACTTGCTACATCAACCATTAGTGAATTTGGGCATCCTGTCTGCATAGTATTGAACAATACTGTGGAGTCAGATTGCCACGGTTTGAATTCTTTCTCTGCCACTTACTAAGTGCATGGTCTTAGGCAAGGTACTAACCCTCATTATGCCTCAGTTTCCTCATTGGGATGTTGAGAAGAGAAATGTAATAATACTTGTAAAGCACTAAGAATCTTACATAGGTATTTTTTTAGGATTAAAAAATTTTTTATTGGATTATAGTTGACTTACAATGTTGTGTTACTTTCTGCTGTACAGCAAAGTGAGTCAGTTATACATATACATATATCCTCTTTTTTTAAATAAATTTATTTGTTTATTTATGGCTGCATTGTGTCTTCCTTGCTGTGCGTGGGCTTTCTCTAGTTGCGGCGAGCGGGGTCTACCCTTTGTTGCGGTGTGTGGGCTTATTGCAGTGGCTTCTCTTGTTGTGGAGCATGGGCTCTAGGCACGCAGGCTTCAGTAGTTGTGGCACACAGGCTCAGTAGTTGTGGCTCGTGGCTTGCGGGCTCTAGAACGCAGGCTCAGTAGTTGTGGCGCACAGGCTTAGTTGCTCCATGGCATGTGGGATCTTCCTGGACCAGGGCTCGAACCCATGTCCCATGCATTGGCAGGCAGATTCTTAACAACGGTGCCACCAGGGAAGTCCCATAGTTATCTATTTTATATGGTGGTGTGTATGTCGATCCCAATCTCCCATTTATCCCTCCCCACCTAAGATTCTTATATAAGTTTTTAACTTGGGTTACTTGTACTTCTGTGGAATCCAAGGATAAAACTCTTATTTCCATATAATTGGTTTCCTTGGTAATCCTACATATTTTATTTTATATGCATAGAAACATTACTTTGAGAAAGGGGTCCATAGGATTTACCAGAATGTCAATGGAATCCATTGACGTCAAAATCCAATGACATCAAAAAATGGTTAAGAACTTAGAACATTCCCTGGCACATATTTCTAAGATATATGGCATATCAAGTGGGACTTTTCCGTGTCTTTCAGCAGAAGCTCCAAAGCTGAGCAAAATAGATGCCAAGTGCCCTGAACATTCTAAAGAAGAATGCTAAATCATCCACACAGGGCATGCTAGGAGAAAGGGCAGCCCATTTAGCAACTCTTAGCCCTCATGTACCTCCAGGGAATGATGTGGCAGAATTGATCAAAAAAGATTGGAGAATGGAAATACTCAGGAGACAATTTTCTGGAGTGCTGTGCCTTTTTCATTCTTCTTCCCCAAGAGTGGAGAGAGAAGGGTACTTGCTTATTCCGTCCTATCACCACCTTGAGCCAAGTGAAAGAATTTTAAGAAATTCAGACAATTTGACCTCTGTGCCCTGTAGTTTATGTCACCTGAAAAATCTAAAGGCAACAAACTACCCAAAGAGGCCTTTGATGACTGAGCAGAGAGAGGGGGCTGCAGCAGAAATGCCCTATACTAGCAATCTTGCAAGAAAAGTTTTCCTGTGGACCATGTGAACACCATAGAATGTAGCAGGCTTCAGTTATCTTAAAAGATCGTATGTTGAAATCAGGAGCTAAGAGGACCATCTATTGATAAAAGGTTAGCTACAGATTTTTTCAAAGTATTAGGAAATGAAACAGTGAAAAGTGCCCAGCAAGGCAGGGGGAGGGGAAGTCATTGAGGAACACATAAAAGGGACCTATAAGAAAAGAGCCAGCTCTTAGGAGTGGGGCACAGGCAGAAAGCACCGAAGTCGTATTTAACTACACTGATTGGGTATATCTGATATTTTATTTCAGACATTTAGGATTACTGCTCAGTCCATCTGAGACAATATATGACCAGTGTACTTCATTAATTATTGATGGAAACAGTGCTTATCAAGTGACAACATTAAACCTGACCAAAGTCTAGCACTTTGACAATTAAAACCAATGACATTACCTAAGTAAATGAATTCTTTTAGGTAATTCATATACCCAATTACCATTTCCATTAACTGCTAAAACCTGCAGAGTCCCCAGCAATAACTCAAAACCTCCTTTAAATCTACACAATGCCATAGGGCATATACTGGTCCTTGTATCTTTGTTCTTATCACTCACCCAAGAGTGTTTGACAAGACTCCTCTACAAGTCAGAACTAAGCCAACCAAGGCATCTAGAACTCAGAGTATTGTTCTAGATGCTAATTTAGAACATCTATTCCATACACATCCAAATATTGCAGATTCAGTTCCTCAGAATGTTAAACATAGAGTACCACATGGCCCAGCAATTCTACGCTTAGACAATAACCAAGAGAAATGAGAACATACATTGAAGTAAAAATTTGTACATGAATGTGCATAGTAGCATTATGCATAATAGCTAAAAAACGAAAGCAACCCAAATGTCTATCAACTGATGAATGGATTAATAAAATGTAGTATATTCATATAATGGAATATTATTTGGCCATAAAAAGGAATGAAGTACTGATACATGCTACAACATGGGTAAACCTTGAAAACATGTTAAGAAGCCAGTCATAAAAGATTATGTTCCTGTATGATTTTGTTTACATGAACCTCCAGAATAGGAAAATCTATTGAGAAAGTAAGTTAGTGACCACCCAGGGCACAAAGGGCTGAGAGGAAATGGAGGGGACTCCTTAAAGGGTATGGGACTTCTAATGGGTATGGGGTAGTGAGATGTTCTAAACTTAGATTGTGGTACGAGTTGTGCAAATCTGTGAATATGCTAAAACGTATTCAATTGTGTACTTTAAATACATGAATTATATAGCATGTGAATTGTATCTCAATAAAGCTGTTACCCCCCAAAATTATTATTGCCATTTCTTAGGTCAAAAAATCGAGGCTTAAAGAGATTATGAAAATGATAAAACCTAGAGATCTGAGGCCAGAGACTGATGCAGCGCATGCTCTCCCTGCATTGCCTCAGTAGTTATCAAAATGCTAAGCTGCTCCAATAAGAGGCATGCGTTCCATTGGGAAGTATTTACATCAAAATGTAAAATAAAGTGTAAACAACACAGATGTTTTTCTATTAAGAGTTTAGGTAAGCCAGTTTATTCTAAAGTTACTTTAAAGTAAAGAGCAATAGGGAAAAGAAATGAAGATGGTTGAGTAGAAGGACGTGCACTCACTCCCTCTTGCGAGAGCACCAGAATCACAATTAACTGCTGAACAGTCATCGAAAGGAAGACACTGGAACTCACCAAAAAAGATACGCCACATCCAAAGAAAAAGGAGAAG